ACTGTCTTTGATGCCAATGATGTTGGGGTGCTGAGCCAGGATGAGCACAGCCTCCAGTGGCAGCTCCAGACCGGTGTTGGCAGGCACACTGTAGAGCACCACGGGGACTGGGGATGCCTCGGCCACCTGTGGGCAGCAGGGCCAAGCTGAGGGCAGGGTGGGGATGTGTGGGATGTGTCCTCCATCCTGCTGCCCCAGCTGGGGCTGCCTGTGGGCACTGGGCGCAGCTCACCTCAGTGTAGTGCCGCACCAGCGCAGCGCTGCTCATGGCTCCCCGGTAGTAGCAGGGGGTCACGACCAGTGCAGCATCAGCCCCTGACTCTGCCATGCTGCCCGTCAGCTCGATGGTGGCCCGAGTGGCTGCAGAGGTGGCAGTGAAGTGAGGGACACCTCATGGGGACACGGCCCCTTTGTTCCCCAAGTTCACACTCACATTCGCAACCTGAGCCTGCCAACAGCAGGCGGTCCCTGGGCAAAGCACGGCGTACACGGCTCACCAGCTCCAGGCGCTCACGGGGTGCCAGCAGGGGGAACTCCCCGCTGGAGCCCAGCACCACCAGCCCTGAAATGCAAGCATGGGGAGGGCATCCCTGTTGTCAGCAGCTTCTTCCTGCAGCCTGTCTCCTCCCACCGTACATCTTGGGCAGTCAGAGACATACATCCTATGCTGAGGCATTCACAGTGCGGGTGCAATCATGAGTATAGGGACAAAGAGTAGGTGCACCAGCTTGCAGCTCTGCATGGATGCTCAGAGGGCAGGAGCACCTCTCCTGTGGAGACAGGCTGCCCAGAGGAGGTATGGGTTCCCCATCCCTGGAGGCGTTCAAGGCCAGGCTTGAACTTACCTCGGAAGGGGATGCTGGCATAGTGACGCAGGTTCCCCTCCAGCTGACCATAGTCCACCTCCTGAGTGGGTGAGAAGGGGGTGGTGAGGGGTGGGAAGATGCCCCCGAGGTCGAGCTTGGGCTGTGGACCCAGAGGAGTGCTGAGCCCCCGGTGCAGGGCTGCCAGGGCTGGCCGGAGTGGTGAGGCGAGGCGAGAGCTGAACGCCATGCTGCCTGTGTCCTGCAGTCAGCCTGTGCCTCCTGCCTTGCCAAGAGGGGTTAATGTTTGACAGGGCACATGAGAGAGCTGCGGCCCCACTGGGCGGGAGACATGGGGGTGGTAACGGGTGAGTGCTCTTCTCCTCTGGGATCCTGAATTAATTCAGCACTCCTCTGGATGTGTCCCCCCTGCATCATCTGTGTGTTCCCTTTGTTTTCACATTCAGAGCTGGTATGCAGCACTAGTAGGGCTAAGGAGGGGAATGGGCACTGCAGGGAGCCCCAGGGCTATAAGCAGGGTTCATGTGCTCTAGGTGTTGTTGTAGGGTCTCCTGTAAACAGGTGAGTGGGCAGTGAGCACTGGACATGGTGCTCAGCAGAAGTGACACATCCTTCAGGGTGGCTGCTGTGTCCTCTCCAGGTGACTCAAGCAATGAAAGAGAGAGAAGCCACCACCCAGCCTGGCTGCCTGGGAAGGGAATAGCTGCTGCTTCCCAGCTGACCCCAGTGCCAGCACAGAGCAGCTCAGGGACACCCCCCATTGGAGTTATTCTCCACAGGCGTGCCCAGGTGGGATTGCGAAGCATTGCACACAGTGCTGGGGTGTCTCACAACAAAGAGCCCTGCCACTAAACCACTCATGGTAGCCCCATGGTGTCACCACACCACTGTGTTAGGAGGCAGAACTCAATGATGCAGCTCCTGCCCCTACCACCTCCCCTGGCACGATCCCAATGCACCCCACTGGAGCCAAACTCTCCTCTTTGCTGGTTTTATTGACACGGATGAGTCTCAGCAGGATCTCGTTCCTTGGAGCCAAGCCCAGTGCTGGTCCCTGCCCAATGCCATCACGCTGGGACCTCAGTCTCCTCTTGTGGCCGTTCCTTGGTCTCCAGTGCCTGGCGTGTGTCTACCTGCCACTGCTGCACCAGGTCTGTCGGAGTCTTACCAGCCTGTGAAAGGGGGCAGAGGTTTGAGACCAGGGTAGCAGACAACAGCATAAGCACATCTCACACCACTCACCAAGTTCCTGGCCATCATGTCAGCCCCATGCAGGATCAGCATTTTAATGATCTTGTAGCGGCTGAGCCGTGTGGCATCGTGCAGTGCTGTGTCACCTTCCTGCAAGAGATGCAGCCTGGCTCTGTGCACCGCATCCCCAAGAGGACATGGGAACAGTGAGCACCTGGATGTTGCACTCACCCTGTCTGGGGAGTTGATATCCACCCCACAGTGGATGAGGTGCTCCACAATATCGAGGTGTCCAGTGCGGGTGGCCACGTGGAGGGGGGTGCTGAGCAGCTGGGTGGGAGAAGCAGACACCAGAATGGATCAGCGCCCCTTCCCCACTAACACAGCACATGGACAGCCCTGTTTCCATGTGGCTTGCCTGTGCTCCTGATGTTTCCCCATCCCCAGGCTCACCTTGTCCTTCAGGTTGAGGTCTGCCCCCCGGTCCTGCAGCAGCTTCACGGCGTCCAGGTTCCCCCCCCGGCAGGCCCAGTGCACAGCAGTGCTGTCCAGCTGGGCACACAGAGCTGTGTCTCAGCAGGGTCACCACCCAGCCAATCCCCAGGCTGAGCTGGCAGAGCTCGACTCATGGTTGCTACTGGGCTGGGAACAGCCCAGCTCTGCTTAGGGGCCCCCCGCTCTTATATTGTGCCCAATGGCTCAGGTCCCTGAGAAGGGACTCCGCCTCACCCGGTCCCTGAAGTCGACAGTGGCCCCACTGTCCAGCAGCTTCTGCAGGATGTCCATGTGTCCCTCCAGCGAGGAGCGGTGAAGGGCCGTACGGTGGAACTGGAGGGGCCGAGGTATGGTGTTGGCAGCTGGCTCTGATGCCCTGGCCCAGAGCAGCCTCATCCCAGGGGCACCGCACTACCTCATCACACGTGTCTGGGGGGCCACCATCCGCCAGAAACTTCTCAATGACACGGATCTTGCCCTGCACGGCCGCTCGCAGGAAGTCCTCTGGCTCCACGGGACCCTCCTGGGGCAGGACAAGGCAGGGCTGGGGCACGGGGACAGCGGGGGCCCCGTGCCCTGCTTCTCCAGGAGGGATCCCCAGCTGCTGCAGCCCCCTTCCCAAACCCTACACATACAATCTCCTGGGGCTCTGGCGGTGGGGTGGGCTCTGGGGTGGCTGCCCGCTCCTCACGGCGCTTGCGGCGCTGCTTGCGAAGCTCAATGAGCCGCTGAATGCTCCCCACGTCAATGATCTCCCGCCGCAGGTCCACCGAGCTTCTCCGCACCCGCTCCTGGCCCTGTGGGGACATGCAGCACCCTGTCGGTCCCCAGTTGGGAGCCCTCCTCCATCCCACTCCCCTGTACAGCACTCACCTTGATGGCCTCGATGCCGCGGTTCCGGAGGCCTTGGCGTTTCTCCTCCTCCAGCTCTGGCGTGCTCATCCGCTCCACGGCCAGCGGCTCCCGTGGGCCATCACCTTTCAGCCTCTGGAGACAGAGGGAGGCTGCAGAGCTCTAGGTGGGCACCAAGCAGCACCGCTCATGTCTTCGGGATGCCTGGCAGCCCCTGGGCTCTCACTTGCCCACCTGCTCTGCTCAGTAGCCAGCTGTCAGGGTGCCTCCAGCTGGGAATTCAATGCCTGCAGTAGCCCTCAGCCTTCTCGCTGCCAGTACGGCAGGACCCCCAAGGATGGTCAAGAACCCACCTTCTCTTCCTCTTCCTCCTCCGCCAGCTTCTGATCAATGAGCTCCTTTGCTTTTTCCACATCCAGCTCCGTGATCTGTTCCACCTCCAGCTCCTTGCCTTTTTCCCCGTCCAGTTCCATGTCCGCCTGGTGTTCAGCCCCACTGGGGTGCCCTCGCAAGATACAGCCTCTCCTCCTCACTGCAGGTAGAGTTCCTGGCCCCAGCAGCTCCGCTGGCGGTGGGGCTTTATGCCTCCAGCCCCTCCGTCCCACTGCCCAAGGGCACCAACAGCTGTGCCTGCTCCACATGACTGGGGCAGCTTTGCCATGAGCTCACCCTGCTGCTTTCTGGTGCCCCTGGCTCACGTCCTGCATGCTCTTAAAGCAACCCATGCCCACCTCCCCACCTAGCTGCCTGGGACCCCCGTACTGGGCACAGGGACTTGGGGCATGTAGGGCTTGTAGAGCTGGTCCAGAGGCTGGATGGAGCGGTGCCAGGATATGTGGTAGCCCTGTAGTTCCTGAGTCCATGCCACCCACCCTGGGCAGTCAGGATGCTCGCGGTGGCTCCATGCTGCTTTGGAGGATGACCTCAGGTCCGGAGCATCCAGAACAGCCCCATGGCCACCTGGTCTCCTTACCGCATGCACACAGGCAGCAGGGCCGGCAGACAGAGACTGCAGCTGTTCCCAGTGCCAGGAATATTGCTCAGGCACTCCAAGCTTTGCTTTCCCTATTTGTAAGATGAGGGCAGTGCACCTCGTGCCGGGACAGTTAATGCGCTGGGCACCAGCCCCTGGGATCAAACAGAGGAGGGACAGATGAGGACACATCACACTCCTGGGCACGTGTAGGACCCAGGGCCACGCTCGGGTGCTGTACCCCATGTGTGCCACAGAGATGGGAGGGAGAGGGGTGTGCAGGGGTGACACACTGTCTGTAAAAGGCTGGCTGTAAAAGGGGAACAGAGCTCAGACCACTGGCATCCCCCATGCCCAGCTGTCCCTGCCAGGTGATGCTGGAACGGATGTCAGATGGACACATGGGCCAGGGGACAGCCCCTAGCAAGTCCCAGCAGGGAGGAAGGATGAAAAGGCTTTATTGATAAATACACAGACTATGTACAGAGGGGAGACATCTCCGCCCAGTACTGCAGCCCCTGGGCCGGAGGCAGCAGGAGCCCGGCTGGCGGGTCACAGCCTCTCCCCAAGGGGCAGCCCCACAGCAGAGCCCCCCAGCACACATTTGGTCTCGCACCTTCCACAGCAAACGTGCCCATGTCTCCAGCCCACAGCCCTGGGGAGGGGACCCGATGACCCCAATAGGGCTGGGACACGGCACGGGACATCCCCAAGGTGCCGCCGGGCCTCGCTGTGGGAAGGGGACTCCCCACTCCCCACCGGAGCTCAGTTCCTGGGTGGCAGTGGCTGGTTGACGATGACTTGCACCACAAAATCCTTCTGGATCTTGGTCTCCTGCAGCCGCGTGCGGTCGGTGAGCAGCTTGCCAGAGAAGAACCATCGCTGCCAGGCCAGGTCGATGCCCTCCTGCGCCTGCAGCTGCTTCTTCAGCTGCCCGATGGTGTCGGCCATGCTGGCGCTGAGCCGCAGGTCCTTGCCAGTGGACAGGCGCACCTTGAGGGCGAACTCACGCCGGGCACTGGGGAGCGGCTCGGCCGGCTCAGCCGCCTCCTCCTCGCCCCGCTCCAGGATCAGGTTGACAGGCGGTGCCAGGCAGTACACAGGCAGCTGGTAGCGGTTGCCCAGCTCATCGTAGCACTCTGTCAGCGACCCTGTGGACAGCGGGGTGAGCGATGGAGTCTTGCAAGGCACCCCCAAATGGAGACCCCCACTCCAGCATCCCCCCCGCCACCACCCCTCACCGTGGGGCAGGGTGATGCTGGCTCCGTCCAGGATGGCCTGGGCCAGGCTGTGGTCGTTGGCCTCCACGGCGTAGGCTGCAGCCTTCAGGGCATCCCAGATCTCCTTGCGGCCCTCAAAGGCAGGTGCTGTGTCCCAGAACTCGTCCCGCTTGCTGCGCAGCTGCCCGTCCGTCATGGGGTAGTCACTCTTCCACTTGGGACGCTCCTTCTTCAGGGGCTCATTGCGGCCTGGGGAGGCAGAGGGAGGCTCAAAAGGGGGTCTCCCATTACCCAGTACAGCAAAGGGATCCACGGGCTATCGGGGTTTCCCCATACCATGCACAGCGGTGTCCAAGGGACAGCTCCCAAAACAGCCATGGGAAATGCAGTAGCATCCCAGTGGGGTGCAGGGGGTTCCCTCCTGTCCTATGGAAACGGGAAGCCAGGGACAGCCTGGGGTGGCTGCAGGGCCCGGGGCCTTTGAGGCAGAGCAGTATTTATAGCTTGGAGAATTAGCCAGGAAATAAGCTGGTGTGGCAGAGAGGGAAAGGGATTACAGGGGCTGAGCTACAGCCCCAGCAAGGAGGGGGGCATGACTTCTCCTTCCTTTGCCCAGCCCAGGGCAGTGCTGTGGGAGGTGACAGCACTGTGCCACTCTGAGCCCTGCCGAACCTGCAGCAGCCCCACAGCACTGTGAGCAGCCTCCTGCATGGCAACTGCAGCTGGATAACATGCCACACGGCAGAGAAAGCTTGTCTCTAGGCTGGCAGCACCATGCTGGCAGGGGACACCTGTGCAACCAAGCTGTGAAACACCCACAGCAGGCCCCAGCCCCGTGGGAATGGCCCCGTGCCACCAGCCTCACAGCAGGCCGGAAGCGTGGGGTAGGAAGGAGCTGTTGTCACTCCCAGCTGGGCTGGGGACAAAGAGTGTCAACATCTCCTTCCTGTCATTGCTTTCTGTAGGGCAGCCAGCCCACACCATGCCTACAGGGGCACAGAATGAGTGGAGTCTGACAGGGCAGGAAGGATACTGAGTGCTACCAGGACCTGCTGGGCAGGGGGATGCCACCTGCCTGCATGTGCAACCACCACTGGAGACAGCGACCACTGCTGGGGACAGTCACTGCTGCCAGCTCCAGGCTGTCACATCCTCCAGAAGACTTTTCCTGGGGCTGGATGTGACATGTGGCCCAGGGCACAGAATGCAGCCACCCTGAGAGTTGGGAACTGAGCACCCAAGCAAAGTCGGGCAGGCAGCATCCTGACTGCACCACATCCTCATGCAGTGAGGGCAGCTGGCTGCAGCCAGCACTGCCAATTCAGCAGTCACGGTGCTGGGCAGGAGGGATTTGCAGTGTGGCAGAGCAGAGCAAGGTCAGAGACAGCACCTGCCCTGGGCACAGTGGACACCACCAGCCTGAAGGACGTGATGAGGATTGCAGAGGAAGGAGCCACCAGCATACAGCTGCAGCAAGTGGGCCACCACATCATCTTTGGGCCACCACGAGCTGCAGAGGGACAGTGGATGGGGGAATGTCCCTGTCTCAGTGAGAGCAGGACACTCCAGCACATTCTCTCTGTAGTATCAGCCAGACAAGGGCACATAGGGATTAGTAGGTGCTGGAGGTCTCCTGTCCCACAGCTTCATCCTGCTGCTGTCACCTTCATTGCCCGAGAGGTGGCTGCGCCCGTGGCCCCATGCGGCAGCCGGGAGCAGGCACGGGATAGCACAGCAGATAGCACTGCCAGGAAAGGAGGTCCCTCGGAGTTAGGGATGGACTCAGCCAGACAGCACAGCTCCCAGACATCACCATGCCCCAATTCCACTTCCAGGAAAGGGAAGAGGGCTGGTGCTCAGCAAGGAAGAGGGATCCAGGGGCTGCAGACAGGCACCCAAGCTGGCAGTGTGGCAGGGAGCCCACTCTGGAGGAGCAGGGACAGGCTGTGGCCCCACTGCCACTGACAGCCCTGCCCAGGTAGGCAGAAACTAAGCCTCTTCTATTTATTGCTGCCACCCAGCCTGGACCCAGACTCTAATCACCTTGTGTTGCTCTATTCCTGGCCCGTTGTGCAACTCCACGCCCTTAGGGGACATGGGGGGTTAGGAGGTGCCCAGCTGTGTTCTCGCTCAAGCCAATGGGACCTGCAGGCAGCCTGCCCAACATGGCTTACCTGCTCCTGCACAGCTCAGCTTGTAGCAGGGCTGCTCCCAGATAGACAACTTCCAGTACTCTGGACCCCACAGAGTCACCCCCTGCGTGTCCCTGAACATAACCTAGGAGCTGTAGCAGCTCAGAGTCCCCAGCCTCAGGTCGCACTCCAGGGAAAGGAGTGCCGGAGGGGACACGGGGACAGCGAGTAGCACCCGGGTCCGAGCCCTCCTCCAAGTACCCAGGAGCATCCTGCAGCACTGCCTGCTCCGTGCCAGCCGGTGCCCACGGACTTCCTCATCAGCGATGGACACTGTCCTGCGGTAAAACCTCTCCCGCGAGAGACCCAGGCTGTGGGGTCCCCGCGCACGGTGCTTCCTGCTCCTCCCCGTGTGGGTGCAGCGGGCAGGGTGTGACTCACCGTGCCGCCCGCCCGGCGCTTGGCGGGGCCCACTGGGGAACGCTGGGGCGCAACGGGGCGAATTGCGACAGCGGCAGCGCTGCCCCCGCCTCGACCGGTCCAAGCGCGCGGTGGTGGGGAGGCATCAGGGACACCATGGGGACACGCTGGGGACGCGAAGGGCTGGCGAAGCACGACGAGCGAATCCCGGCACAGGCACCCGTGGCACCCCGGTATCAGCGCCAGGGATGCGCACAACTCGCCCCAGGAGCCCGGCACGGCGCAGCCCCGACGGGGCGCACGGAGAAGGAGCGGAGAAATCCCCGGCAAAAACGGAGAGGCGGAGCGCCCCGGGGCTGACTCCGGGAATCGGGCGGCAGCGGAACACGGCGGCGGCTGAGCGCCGCTGAAGAGAGAACACCTCCCGGTGCTGGGCGGACAGCTCCCTCCCCAGGGCACGCCGCCACCGGACACCCCGCGACCCTCGGTGCCGCTCACCTGCTCTCTTGCGGGGACTCCCGGCGGAGGGCCGCTCCCGACGCTGCCGCCCCACGCAGCCGCCCATGGCGGGGGCTCACCGACGGCGACGGCGGCGCGGGCGGCTCGGCATGGGGCCGGCCCGGCTCCACGCCGCGCTCGACCGCGGGGCCCGGCGTCTTGCGACCGCACCGCACCGCCCGACTCCGAACGCCCGAGCCGCCCCACCGCCAAAGCCAGCCCTCGCCGCGCCGCGCCCCGCCTCCCCAGGTGCGCATGTGACCGCCCCGTCGCGTCCACCGCTCCCCGCCGTCGCTCCGTGGGGAGCGCCGCCCACGTGCGCGCGTCCGCTCCTCCCGGCACTTTTGACCCTCCCGCGCCGCCGTACCCCGGCGCTGGCCCCGCCCCCCGGGGTGCCGCCCCTCCCTGTGGTGTGTGGGGGGGCCGAGATGAGGAAGGGGCGCCGAGGCCGCGCGCATGTGCCGTGGGCGCTCGGGGCTGCGCGTGCGCACGGCGGGAGCGGCGCCGGTCGCTGCCCTGGGAGCGGGGCGTCATGGCGGCGGGCGCTGAGGCGCTCGCTGCTTCCGTCCGAGACTTCGTGACCGGACAGCAGGACGGCCGCGCCGCGGAGTTGGCGGCAGGTAACGGGCGGCGCCTGGGCGAGGCTGCGGGGTTGGGTGCGGCGGGGCGTGGGGCCGCGGGGCTGCGTGCGGGGGCCGCTGAGCCACGTGGCTCGGGGGTACGGCGCTGCGTGTTGGCGGCGCGGGGCGCGGGTCGGGGCGCGGGGCGGGGTGAGGCGCTGCTGGGACGGGGCGTGGGGGGGAGGAGGATTAGGGGCTGTAGGGCGGCAGCCAAGGTGAGGCGGGGTGAGCGGTGCCGCGTAGATGCGGGGTTTGGGGGAGCGAGGGCTGTGGGGTGAGTTCGGATTTTGTAAGGCTGATGCAGAGCACGGGATGGGGCCGGCTTGGGCCGGGGAGCGGGACTTCAGGGCGTGGGGACGTGTGAGCTGATGGGAGCGCGGGGCTGCGAGCCGTGACGCTGGGGGCACGGGCACAGCGGGAGCTGCTGCCGACGGTACGGCGGCCCGCGGTCTGTCTGAGTGCTCTGGGGCTGCAGCCGTGCTTGGCTGCTCCGGCCCTCGGGTCTGGGGCCTGTGCTCTGACAGCTCCTCTGTGATTTCTCTTTCCCTGGTGAGACTTGAGGCATTTGGTTCCCGTGGGTGATCTCTGCTTGGAGCGGAGATTTGGTGACTTTGTTATGTTAGGGAGTCTGTAGGGAGTCTGAAGGAGGATTTTTAAGGATGAGGGGGTGTGTTTTGTTTCTGGATGGTGGCTTTGGCACAATTTGGAAGGTATTTGAGGGAGCGGATAGAAGGCAGGGAAAGATAACCTTACAGCTGCTATTGTCATCTGTGGTCATGTTACAGAAGTGACTGGAGAAAGCTTTGTCTCATCATAGACCTACAAAGAGAAGAGCTGTACCCCAGCTCCCATCAGCCATATGGCACTTGTGACAAACCTACCTTGAAAGGCGAGGGGGCTGGCAGGAGTCCTGTGGTGTCTCTGACCCTGTATAGAGTCATGCATCAGAAAGTATTTAATTACAGCATCCTTGAGTGAAAGGAGAGGTTTTCCTCTAACCTCACTGCCTTTTGTGTAATTGTTGGAAGAAACACGTTGAGCTTCCTTCGTGTGCCGCTGAGTGCTAAATTAAGTGTAACTTGACAGGTAGGAGGGGGAGCTTGGTGCTGTCACAGGCATTTTGGGCTGCATAGGTCAGCATGTGTCAGAGAAGGCTGAGTTTGTTTTTATTAAAGCATGTGAAGAGAGGGATGATGCTGTTAGAGAAAGCCATCATGATCACTGGAAATTACTGCACACACACTGTAAGGGAACTGGGGAGATGTAAGGAGTGGCAAGTGTGTGGAAATTATATATGGAAGGATGGCAGTGAAAGGGAGGTGTCAGGGAAAGCTGGTGGATTTCAAGTTAGAATACAGCAAAGGGTAAATTGCTTGCTTCTGTTTAGCCTCGCACTCTAGGAATATCACCAGAGAAGGGCAGCCCTTCCAGTAAGGGAAGCTTACTGGGATGCAAGGTGCACAACAACTGGTCCTGCTGGAGCTGAGCTTGCACTTCAGCTGCGCTGTGTGCTGCTGCTCTACGTGCTGCTGGGCTCGTGTGCTTCTCTCATGCACAGTGAAATCAAGCAGACATCTGAAACCAGAACAAGCTTGCTGGAGTAGAGGGAGGGGGTTCATAGCCACAAGAACATGGGTGGCTAGTTGTGGTCAGATCATTGCTCTTCAGCTCTTTCCTGTTGGTGAGGTCACTAGCACCTTTGTCTAAATACTGCGTTCAGGCTTTGAAAATGTAGAGCAGCTTAGTGCTCAGCTGTGGGACTAGTGTGTATCTGACCTTCTACACCATGGCAGAGGTCAGAATCACAAGCTTGCAGAAGCTGTGCTCTGGAATGAGATGGTGGGATCCTAGGTGTGAAGGAGTGCTCTGCTTTGTACCCAAGCACAGTGCCTGCTTGCTACCATGCTCCTGTTTTTCTCCAAGAGGCTTTGCCAGCAGCTCCCAGTCTCACTTGAGGCACCTCTTCTTCAGCCTGTGCTGTCCACCCTGCAGCCAGCTGGACTCTCCTTTTTCCTCATGGCTCTCCTTGCCATGCCTCCTATCCCTCTCCCCTCTGTGCCAAGTGGAACTGGAAGTGCTGTCTTTGGAGCCAGGGCTGCTTGCTAACAGAAAATGTGGTCATCCCTTCTTCCATCCCTGGAGACCTCTCTCCAATAAACAGCACAACCTAATACTGGAATTAACTGCTTTAGGAAGAGCCAGTAAATGCTGGCAACAGCAGGATACACTAGCTGAGGCAAGGCCCAGATGAAACCTTTGGGCTTTCCGATAGGTGGGTGCCCCACCAATTGTGTAGGGAAGCCCTCAGCAGGGCAGAGAGGTGAAGGCTCCTGGGCAAAGATAGTGAATCCTGGGGACCAAAGGCACACAGAGCTGTTTTACTGGGCGAGTGTCGCTAGCTGTGGGGGTAGGGGCCCTTCTGCTGGGCTTTTGTAGGATATGGCAGATCCTCACCAAGGCCTTCTGTGGAGTGACTCTTCCCACAGTTCAACTGCAGGTGAGTGAAGCAACCTGACCAGGGTGTCTGAGTCAGAGCTGCGAATGCACTCCAGCAGTTCCAGCATTGTGTCGTACTCTAACCACAAAACCATATTTCTCTGTGCTCTCTGCCTTGGAGGGAGTTTGTGTGGGTGTTGCTCAGTGTAGAGATGATGGAAGCTGAGTGCTTGTTAATGTCTGGGCTGTTTGGCTCAACCACTGCCTTGTTAAGAGCATGATTTCTTTTGTCCCCTAGGGAGCATTGGGGGCAAACCTCACAACTCACCCTCACAACTGCCCTCTGCCTCAGTGACAGTCTGGGAGACTCTTTGGCTTACTCTCTTTATTTCTTCTCTCTAGGAGTGAAAGATGGAAGCTGGACTATTCTGCAGCTTGTGGAAGCCTTGGGGTAAGGAAAGCTGTGTACATGTTGTACATCATGTAAGGGTATTGCTGGGGAGATTCCCATAATAAGGGATAACAAGAAGGAAAAGTGTGCATGCTGGCAGCTCATCCTGTGCAAACTGCCTTCAGTACCACCAGGCACACAGATGCACCATAAGTGTGTTGTCTGCTCACTGCACATTGCCCTCGCAGGGCAGGAGGGGCCTGTAAGTCTCTCCTGGGACTGAGGAAAGGTGTTGCGGCAAGCAGTGAGCTGCAGAGCACATTGCAGCTGAGACTCCCTAGCAGGAGCTGCCTGACCACACAGCTGCACTGTTCCATGTCATGAGTTGACTGCCACTTGGCTTTATTTCTTTCTCTGAGCTGTCATGGGCTGGGACTTGGGGGAACCTTGTTTTTTTTCCAGCTTTGTTGACTTGTAGGAGGCTTTGCCTTTTTCATCTCTTGTGATCTTGAGAGCCTGACTTTGGGTTGCAGAGCATGGTGCAAGAGTAATTTCCTTGGTCTGACTTGAGAAAAGGCTTCTTACCTTGGATGTATTGCTGTGTGAGGCCAGGTGCTTGTTAGCAGCATGGTCATGGGCGCAGGAGTCATCTCCTACCCTATGTGCCAGTCGGGCAGCACTGTGCTGCTGTCCCCCTGCCTGGAGAGCAGCTCTGTTTCATGCCTATAATGCGTTTGCTTGGGGTGCACTTCCTGTGTGGGTGTCCCTGTTCACATCAGGCCTTTTGGGTTTTCACCATGTATGGGCTAGATTCTGCCTGGAAAACACCGATCCCCGGACACGAGGGCGAGGCATCCAACTGCTGTCACAAGTGCTGCTGGAGTGTCACTCCTTGCTCCAGGAGAAGGAAGGTAAGGTCTTCTATGAATGAATTGTGAGCAGGTTGGGGGCCAAGCCTGTGCCCTGAAAGAGTCTAGCCTGCGTTTGGCAAAGAAATTGATTTAGCACTATGGCAACCTTTGCATATCTCTCAAGAGTCAAAGTCCAAGAAGGATGTGGGGCCCCACATCATAGCCTGTTTGCCACCCTCACAACACAATTCAGGCTACTCCCTGAATGTACCAAGGCCAGGTGCTGCAGCTGGTGCCCCTGGCAATGTGTGGGTGCTCTGCACTCAGGCATGCTCAAGCGCTGCGTGGGAAGCCTCGGGGACACATCTGAATGTCAGAATCCTTGGGAGGTGATTCACTGCAGGAAAACCATCGTTCACAAAGCGAGTCATGCCACAGCCCTGAGGCCTGCCTAGGTTAACTCTGGGGGATCTCTGTGGCCTGGGAGGAGGGGGATCACCATAAGGATGAGAGAGGAGAAGAGGGCTGGGGTGGGAGGGGAATATTCCCTGTATATGTAAGCAAGAAAAAAGTTTGGCTGTGTTATATGCCTCTAAGAAGCTGACTGGCAAGGAAACCCAGTAAGTGCTTCCAGAATGACTTTGGATTGGGCTTTGCTGGTTGGTTGCTCAACGTGTGCCAGCAGGATGGCAAGATGCAGGGGGAAGTAGCTGATAGGTGAGCTGATGAAAAGGAAGGGGGAAAGCAGCAAGTGCTTGGCTTGATGTTGATGATGTAGGTCTTGGACTGGTACTGGGCAGGGCTGTGAGCAGCTGTGCAGGACTGTGCAAAGAGCTACTGGTGTAGCTGGAGTCAGGTATGACTGTGGTAGGGATGGGGTGGCTCTAGAGGAACAAACAGGTGGGGAGGTTTGTCATGAGGCCTGGCAGAGTCAGGGGAGTGAGCTGGGTTTACAGCCGAGTCATTAGCAGCTCTGGAGTGGGATGGGCAGAGTCAGTCCCCAGGAGGAGAGCCAGCCCAGCCAGCCCATCTCTCTTCGTGGCTCTCCTCACGCAGTCCATTTCCCAAGCACTGCGTCAGGCTGCCTCCCGGGGAGTGAGTTTCTGCAGCAGCTGTGGGTGCAGGATGCTGCCAGCCGGCTCTTCCAGTCTGCTTCCTGCTGCCGCTCCCCAGGCTGGGCTGTGCAGGCGCCCATGGCCATGACTCAGGGGCCGGGAACGTGTTGTGGAGCTGAGCGTGGGGGAGCCAGGGCTCCTGCTCCACCCCACAACATCCTGCAGCATCGGCCAAGCAGGCGTCTGCTGCTTCCCTGCCTGTGTCTGCACTCACGTGTCTGGACAGGCCAGGGCGAATGCCTCACAAGCAGCCCCAGCACCTGAGCTCCAGCAGTGGGTGCTGCCCTGCTGTGGTCAGACTCAATGGGTTGCTCCATAGGAGGAGCGGGGAGGTGTGAGAGCCAGGTGGGTGCATGCAGCGGTGTCAGTTCCTCTCACGGTGGTGAATGATGCATTCTCACTGTTCAACATGCAGCTGTGACTCCAGGGGCTAACGAATATTGGTATCTGTTTCTGACAGTTCTGCACCTGGTCCTGTTTTATGAGAACCGGCTGCAAGATCATCACCTCTTGATCCCTTCAGTGCTCCAGGGTCTGCGTGCACTGGTGAGCTCATGCTTCCACGGCTCACAATGTGAGGATGGCTTCAGGGTGATGCTGGGAGGAAAGCGCAACTCATGGCTATGACATAGAGCAGCTTGTGGAGCAGAGCCCAGCTGGGCTTCCAGCTCTGTGGCATTGCCCTGCCTTGTGCTCCTGCTGTGCCCCTGCAGGGGAGTAGAGGCTGCCATGACTTTCTGCTGTTCAAGGGCAAGGATTCTGTGGCTACCCTTTGGGACAGCACTGATTTCAGGTGGCTTTCCTACCCTGTCTGTGAGGGTAACAGACTTCCCCTGGGGTAGGAGAGGATCTTGCAGGTGGCTGCTGTACATTCCCTGTTCCTATTGCTTTTCTCTTCCTATTTACAGAGCTTATGTGAGGTGTTGGCCCCAGGGCTAGCAGTTTCTGTGCTCAAAGCCATCTTCCAGGAGGTGCATGTGCAGGTGAGCAATGTGATTTTCATCCTCCTATCTCTGTTTCATATTTTCTGTGTCTAGGGAAGGTCTGCCAGCATTCTGCACCAGTGCAGTGTAGCGTATCCTTCAGCAGCAATGCAGTGTTCCTGCAGAACTCAGAGCCAGCATGGCTCACTGCAGAGCAAGAGACAGAAGACAGATGAGGCTCCCATTTGGCTCTTGTCCCCTCTTCTGTCCGCCTTATGAAGATTATTTCCTTTGCTCTGTTCTCCAGACTGTTCTAGTGGCCCTAGTTCCCAAATTCTGCTCATCTTAAGACTGTTTATTCTGGCAGGCCTTAGGCAGCACATGTGGCCCAGGTGTGATTGTAACAAGTGTATTCTTTCAGTGATAATCACAGCCAGTCATGTTCAGGTGCAATTGTACACCCTCCACATGGTAAATGGGATCTACATGCCAGAAAGCAGCAGTGCAGCTATTGAGGGGCCCTGCCTGCTTCTCAAGGGCATGTGCATACTTCTGGGTAGTGGGATAGCAATGCTGCATGTATGGAGGTTTGTTTTGATTCCTCTGCTCCTCCTTCCAGTCCCTGCTGCAGCAGGACCGCTACACGGTCTACAGCATCATCACCAACTTCATGGCCACCAGGGAGGAAGGTGAGGGCACTGATGCCAGAACCACTTTGGGGTTATTAGGGCTAGGAGAACGGCTTGCTTTCTCCTGCTCAGAGCGCTCTGTGGCACTGCTTGGAGAAAGCTGGGAGGGGCTGTGGGGCTGGGGAAGCAGAGCTGATTTCATGCAATGTTGGTGAACTTGATTGTCCTGCACCTTTTTTCTGCAGAGCTGAAGGGCCTGGGTGCCGACTTCACTTTCGGCTTCATCCAGGTGATGGATGGGGAGAAAGATCCCCGCAACCTGATGGTGGCCTTCCAGATTGTGCATGATCTCATTGTCAAGAACTATGCCCTGGGTGAGCCTGTGTCTGCTGTGCAGAACTGAGTGGAGGACATGTTGCTTTTTTCTTTTTTTTTGAACTGTTGGAGGGATGGCCTTTGGGGCACGAGCGGGACTAGGTTGTGTCTGACATGACTTAAGAGCTGTAGAGACAGCCTGTCACAGCTTGGCAGCTGTGTTCCTCTTGCTCAGCATCTCTCATCACCCTCTTCATTTTCTACTTGCAGGTCCCTTTGTGGAGGAGCTGTTTGAAGTGACATCCTGCTATTTCCCTATTGATTTTACTCCAGTGAGTGAGTCTGCTCCATGTTATAGCCTGTTCTTTCTGGTGTTTTCTCAGGGTCTCATGTTCCTTTCAGGGAATGGAAGGAGAGGGTGGGCAAGAGTCTTAGCGTGGGTACTGTTGTGGTGTTAGCTATGGTATCCAGGCTGATGCCAGACTGGCTGTAGAGATTGACATTGCTGTTGCCTTGCTGCATATGAGATGATGCAGCCTCAGCTGATGGCTGATCTGGGATGTTTCATGAACTGCTCTCTATATTTCCCCTCCAGCCCCCCAACGACCCACATGGCATCCAGAGAGAAGATCTGATCCTTAGCCTCCGAGCTGTACTGGCCTCCACACCACAGTTTGCTGAGGTAGGTAGCAGTTTGGGTTCTTGAGCATCACACTTGAGCACAAGCTGCATTTCAGAATACTGCAACTCCTAGTGCAGCTCTGCAGGAAGTAAAAAACTGGGACCAGGAGTCTGCATGGGCACCCCTTGTGTCCTGGTACTCCTTGTGTCCTGCCTATCCCTGGGGCTGGACGTGTGGAGGGTACTGCGTGTTGCACGTTTTTTTTCTATCTCTGCCTCTCCTGGCAAAGGCTGAGCTTGCAACCCTGCAGGGCCATGGACAAAGTCGTGCAAAGAGCAGAATGAGTCTTAACCATCTCTTTCTGCAGTTCCTGCTCCCTCTGCTCATCGAGAAGATGGATTCAGACCTGCAAAGTGCCAAGCTTGACTCCCTGCAGACTCTGGTAAGGAGGGATCCACCACTCCCATCAGCCCACAGCTGGCCAGTGCCAGTAGCAGCCAACCACAGCCAAGCTTCTTTCCCATATCTGGCAGTCAAAGACTCTCCCTTTCAGAGCCTGTTTTACAATTTCCAGGATCCTAGTTAGGCCTGCATCACTCTTTTCTTTGAGTGCTTCACGCAGTCCAGCACCCTGCTCTCTGTTCTACTGGCACTGATTCTTTTTTTTTTTTTTTTTTTTTTTCCTCCTGGCTCCTGTTTACAGACTGCTTGCTGTGCCATCTATGGTCAAAAGGAGCTACAAGAATTCCTCCCTAGCCTCTGGTCATCCCTGCGCAGGGAGGTAAGTGCTGCAGAGCCCCTAACAAGTGTTCCAGCACAGCTGGACTCCTCCTGAGCAGGAGTTCACAGCCAAACCAGTAGAGCTCCATATCTCCCACCAACCCCCACCTGTGGCCTTGGACAGCCCAGATGAAAAGGAGTTTGGGGGGATAGGCTACCCCTACCAGTGTGTCTGGGGGGCTTGTTGGATATGCTTGTTCAAAGCACACAGGAAGTGATACTGGAGCCTGAGCCTCTTCAGCCCATGTTGGGAGCTTGAAGCCTGTGGTTGGGGGTGTCAGCACTGAGCTTAGCTTACCCCACGGCATCTCCTGCAGGTGTTCCAGACAGCGAGTGAGAAGGTCGAGGCAGAGTGCCTCTCTGCATTGCATGCCCTTTCTGCTTGTCTCTCCCGTTCTGTGCTCAGCTCAGATGCCGAGGACCGGCTGGACTCCTTCCTTAGCAGCATTCTGCAAGGTAGGGAGACCTGCCCATCCCTGAGCAGAATGGCCTGTTGGCACTGCCAGACCTGCAAGCATCCTCCTAGCCAAAGGAGGTGGTCTGCCCTCACATTCTCCTTGAAGTCTGTTTCTTCTATTTCTGGCTTTCACAGCTAGTGTTGGCTTCTCTGAGAGAGTATCAGTGTAGGAGGGAGGAGAAGAGGGTACAGTAGGAAATACAAACTGAATGGAGTTGCTTCCCTCTCTTTGCAGTGGGACATCCAAAGCTTTGTTGTGTGCCTTGAGCTGGGGGCAGCAGCTCTGCATAGGAGGTTGCACTGTAGCTCAGACCTGTGTCCCAGCAGCACATCCCAGTCCAGATATGAGCCATGCCCTGCCCATGAGGCAGAGGCGGTTCTGCCAGTATGGCTAATGCCAATCCTATCTCAGATTGCAGGCACCATCTGTGTGAGCCTGACATGAAGCTGGTATGGCCAAGTGCCAAACTCCTGCAGGCAGCAGCAAGTGCCTCCCTCCGCAGTTACCACCGTCTCACCCACAGCATCCTTCCCCTGCTGCTGGAGCAGTACAACAAGCATTCACAGGTGAGAGGCACCCTGGGTTTGGTGGTCAAAGGCAGCAGGGCTGAGTGCACCCTGTGACTCTGTCCAGCTTGGTGAGATGAAGGGGGCATCAGTCATAGTGGGTGTCCTTCTCTGACTGTGGGTGGGCACCCCTGTTAACCCCCTGGCCTTGTGGCATTGGGCTGAAATGTAGCAGTGAGAGAGCTGGGTTACACCTTTGTATCCCTGCAGAGCAGCCAGAGAAGGACAATCTTGGAAATGCTCCTGGGTTTCCTGGAGTTGCAGCAGAAGTGGGGACATGTAGAAGAAGGTAAGATTTGCTGGCCCTTCTGAAGGAACCCAGACTCCCTTAAGTGTGACCCTGGAAGCTTCAGGCACTGCACTGCCTTCCCTTATGCTGACTGAAGAAAAGCTCATTGACTTGGGTGGCTGCGTGTGCAGCCTGCCCGAGGGATTTTGTGTGATTGGATGTGAACTGGCGGGGCATCAGAAAGTGTCTGTCCAGTGCTGTGGTGGTGGCTGTGCTGTGACAGTGAGATGCAGGCAGTGACTCCATGCTTCTGTCTCCAGATGAGAGTGCTCTGCTGTCACTCCAAGAGACAGTTTGCTCTGTGGTGTTCTCAGCACTCACAGATCCCAGCGTGCAGCTCCAGCTGGTCGGGATCAGGGCACTGACTGTCCTGGGCTCTTTGCAAGGTTGGTATCTCACATCCTCTGGGGAGGCAGAGGGGAGGTGTTGTCCTGCTCTGGGAGCTGTGGTCAGCTGCCTGTGCTGCATGCGGATACACAGGAGAGTGCAGCACTGCTTATTCTGTCTGTGAGCTCCAGGAACACTTGATTTATCTTGCTTGCCTGTGCTGGGCACCTTGTATCTTTGGAGTTTGTGTGATGTTGCATTGCTAATAGCCTGGACAAGAAGAGGGAAGGATGCTGGCCAGAACACTGGGATCGTAGCCTTTGGCCAAGGGCATTATTCTTCTATGGTTCTTGTTCCAGGCTTCCTGTCTCCCTCTGACCTGGAGCTGGTTGTGGATCATCTTGTCCGGCTTGCTCTGCACGAGGAAGATTCCCAGAGCAGGTGAGTGCTGGGCTGACATTGCTTCAGTCACCCATACTCTGGGAAGAGGAACAAGACCTGACTCTGCTACAGAGATGGGCTTAGTCTGGGTGGAGGCAAAGGAACTGTGAAAAATAGAGACCACGTGTGTAGAAGCAAAGGGTTGAGCCAAGTGGTTTCTGGAATCGGAATTAGAAAGTCTGGGTCTGTCAGAGCAAGAGCCTCTACTACCAATAGGGTGAAAAAGGCAGAATCCTGAGAAATGGGTTTCTGGTGGCCCAGATCTTTGCAGCTGATGCACAAACAGCCCAGAGTTTGCATTGTTTACATCACCCCTCCTGCTCTCTTCCCTCCTGGCAGTGAAGCAGCGATGGAAGCAGCTGGATCTCTGGCCCCTGTCTACCCAAAAGTTTTCTCTGGGCGCATGGTGCCTAGGCTTGGAGAGGAGCTGCAGTCAGGTAGGACTGACAGTCTTGCAAAGGGTTTAATTTCTGGTATTGGGGTGAAACAGAGAGACTGTGCCATATGGTTCTCCTCATTGAGGAATTCCTAGCACATGTGCTGTGTTGTTTGCACTGTGGGGATCACAAGCAGCCTGCACAGCAGGGACTGCCCTTGAGGAGCTGCCCAGTCACAGACAGGACAGGATGCCTTGGACTTGGCTTGGGCTGGTCTTTTGGTGCTGCTACACTCCAGCCTGGCCACTGCAGAGGGGAGCCATCCCAACACCCCTCTGAACTGCATTTCCTCTTTAGAGCGGGAGGAGGAGAGCTCCCGGAATCTCCACTCCTTGCAGCAGCGCTGCCTGCAGGCCTTGGCAGCCGTGTCCACACACACCAGCATCGTGAGGGAAACTGTCCCTGTGCTGCTGCAGCACCTCCGGAATGTGCAGAAAGGTAACACAGCTGGCTGCAGGCAGTTTTGTGCAGCACCACTCCTCAGGAGATGAGGAAGGAGGGCTGTGTTGCTGACCCCCCTGTGTCCTGTAAATGGGGCCATGCACCTGATTGCTGCCCTAAAATGCTGGTGTGGAGGTGGGGGTGGGTGCAGTGGCTGTTGATGTGATGCTGAACGTGCCCTGCAGGGAGCGAGGCCGGGAATGCCCAAGAGGTAGTCTCTGTATGCCAGAGCCTGCACCGCGTGGCCCTGCAGTGCCAGCAGGACGCGGAGGGCTGCTGGTACTACCACCAGACAGTGGTGCCGTGTCTGCTGGCTATGGCTGTTCAGGCTGCCACACAAGGTAAGCATCGCGGCTCGAGCAAGAAAGAGAACAGCGGCAGTGCGCTGGGCTCCCTGGTCCAGCAAATAACGCTGCTGCTGCCACCCAACGGCAAACGGGGGCACTGCGGGCCCCTGATCAGAGGCAGAGCAGCAGTGCCCTATGACGTGTGTGTCACAGGGCTGTGCCTGCCTCTGCGCAGTGCCAGTGGGCTCCACCACTTCCTTTCCACCTGTTTTCTGCAGAGAGCAGCCACCCACTGGTAAGCAAGGTATTGCTGGAGGAGGAGGTGCTGACTGCCATGGTCCCTGTTATCAGCGCTGCCACCACTCACCTTAGCCCTGAGTGAGTAGTGCTGGTGTGGGATGCTGGACACTGCCTCATGGGGAAGGGCAGGCTGAATGCCCCCCTGCTGCTCCACAGGGGAGGTACTGAGTGCTCTGGTGACACTCCCAGAGCAGCACATTGCGATGTCTCCTTTCTCTTAGGCTGGCTGCCCAGAGCGTATCTCATGTGGTGCCCCTCTTCCTGGATGGAGAAGTCTCCTTTCTGCCCCAAAACAGTTTTCCTTGCTCCTTCCAGCCCTTTGAGGTGTGTGGCGTGTTTTAGTTGGGCAAGGACTCAGGATGTTGGCACAGGCTGCCAACAGGGATCATGGTGGTGTGGGTGCTGTTCTTCCCCCACAGGATGGGGAGTGTTTGGAGCCACAGAGACGCCTAGTTGCCCTCCTCATGGCCTTTGTCTGTTCCTTACCCCACAATGTAAGTTGGTGAGGAGAAGGGTAGAGAGGGCCTTGGCTGAGCACCGTTCTGTCCAGATCCATAGTGATCTCTGTGGGCAGAGAAAGGGAGCAGCTGTGGACCTAGTTTGTGACGCACTCCTTGTCTCTTTTAGGTGGTAATTCCGCAGCAGGAACGGTTGCTCCGGGAACTGCTGGCATTGAGTTGCTCCTGCAGCTGTCCTTTCACAGCCACCACAGCTTCCAAGTGCTTTGCAGGGCTTGTAAATAAGCACCCAGCGGGTAAGGGAGTAAATAAATTTTGGGGTTCCCTGTTCAGGGCTGGCAGACAAATGGCTCAACCTCCCACTTCTGTGTCTCCAGGGCAGCAGCTGGATGAGATCTTGCAGCTTGCAGTGAACAGGATGGAGCCTGGCCTTACAGAAGGACCTCACCGAACGCAGGCACTCATCCTGCTGCTCTGGGTAGGGCTTGTCTGTGGTGGGAGCAGAGAGCCCCAGGGTGCCCCAGCTGCATGGTGCTGACTCTGCTCTGCCTGCACAGGTGACCAAAGCCCTGGTGCTGCGCTACCACCCCCTGAGCTCCCATCTAACAGACAAGGTAGGCAGCAATGAGGTTGGGCACTCCTGCTCCCCCTGCCTCTGGTCAGCAGCCCAAGTTGCCATGGCTCCCTTCTTCAGCGCTCTCTTCCTCACAGCTGCTGGGTCTGCTGAGTGACGTGGAGCTGGGCCCCATTGCAGCCGATGGCTTCTCCCTGCTCATGGCTGAGTCCCCAGATGTGCTGCACAAGGGCTGCCACGCTGATGTGCGCATCATGTTCCGCCAGCGCTTCTTCACTGACAACGTGCCCAAGCTGGTAGAAGGCTTCCATGGGGCTGGTGCCGGTGAGCAGCTGGCCCTAGCCTGGCCTCACCACTTAGTGCCCCTTCCCCTTGCTACTTGTGACCATCTCTGCCTGCAACAGATGTGAAGGCCAATTACCTGAAGAGTCTATCCCATGTGCTCAACCATCTTCCCAAGCCTGTGCTGGTGACAGAACTGCCCACGGTGAGAGCTGTCCTCAGTAGAGAGACTGCGGCAGTGCAGGCTGTACAGCGGGGTTACTCACATTGCCTGTGTCCTCTCTACCCACAGCTGCTTTCCCTCCTGCTTGAGGCCTTGTCCTGCTCAGACCGTGTAGTACAACTCTCCACCCTGAGCTGCCTCCAGCCACTGCTGCTCGAAGCCCCCCAGATCATGAGCCTGCACATCGACACACTGGTCACCAAGTTCCTCAGTCTCGCCTCCAGCCCTGCCATGGTGTGTGCACTCCTCTCTGCACCACACACCCTTCTCCTGTGTCCCAGCCCCTTCCATCCTTCATTCCTGTCTCTTTTAGGCTGTCCGCATTGCTGCCCTGCGTTGTGCCCATGCGCTCACTAGCCTGCCCACAATAGTGGTAAGTGCTCCCGCTTCCTGCTCCTCCTTGTGCAAGTGGGTCCCAGCTATGGCTGGGGCAGCCAGCACCCTGGAGGGCTCTTGCTCAGAGCAGTAGTTGTCCTCCAGCTGCTCCCATACAAGGCCCGAGTTATCCGGGCACTGGCCAAACCTTTGGATGACAAGAAGAGGCTGGTGCGGAAGGAGGCAGTAGCAGCACGAGGGGAATGGTGAGTGCATGGCTGGAGCTGCAGGGGAGTCAGCGTGTTTAAGATGTGGCTGATGGCAATCTCTGTCTCCACAGGTTCCTGGTGGGGAGCCCGGGCAGGTGAGCACCCTGCATCCCCTCCCTGTGCTTACTGACAATCTGACCAGGACCCTGTCAGTGCCGTGGACCCAGCTTCCCTTGGAGCCTGGTACTGCCTGGAGCACTGAGGCTGGAGAATGGAGACCTGCAGGCAGCACCTCCCCTGCAGCCCCTTCCTGCCCCACTGCCCTCTCTTCTGCACCTAGCAGACAGAAGGAGCTGTGCTGCTTATGGCTTGCCTGTAGCCAGGGACACTGAGGGACAGATTTGCCATGTGTGAATTGCACGGGCAGGCTTGTGCACACAGGTGCTCTGTACAGCACCCCCATGTGCAAGAGGAATAAACTTGTCTGTTTTGGTAATGCTATGTGGGGTTTCGGTGCAGCCCAGGCTGAGACCCCAGTGCCTGTGCTAGCTGTCACACAGCTGAAGGTGCTGGGTGCAGGCCCTTACTCCTCCTTGCAAGCTGGAATCATAAGACTTCCTCTGCCCTCAGCCAGCTGTATCCCCCACCACCAAAAAGAGTCAAACATCCTTTTTTATAAAAAAAACAAACAACACAAACACCTTTATTGGATGCTCTTAAAAAGTCTCCCTGGGGAATGCTTAGGGGGCAGTTAAGCCATCCTCTGCCCCCTGCCCTGTCATGGAGCGACACCAGGCCCTGTACTGGCCCACACTGGTGCGTTGTGAGAGCAGTACTTTCACCTAGACAGGAACAGCAGCTTTGCCCCCTTCCCGAGGGCTGCCTGCAGCCACTGAGGTGCTAATAGAGCAGGCAACCAGGCCTCAAAGTTCCATTTCCCAGAGCTCTGGCTCTGGTAAGAGGTGTGTGCTGGCGCACCTGCCTTCCACCACCCACTTAGGCCAAATTGAGCTGTGGTTGTGGAGTGGGTCCCCTGTGTGCTCCCCTGCCAGCAGGGAGGGACTGCTGCAGCATCCAGGCCTCAGATGGCCAGGAGCGGTGCGCGCTGCTCAGTCATGCAGGGAGGCAGCTCCCAGCTCAGGCCTGTTCCATGGGGCAAGTGAGGAGAGGGCAGCAGGACACGGGTGAGCCAGTGCCTGTGGGGAGAGAAGCAAAGCTTGCAGCAAAAAGCTGAAGTCGTGGCACCACAGAGTGGAACCAGGGCTGTTAGGTGCCAGTGAGGTATGTGAGTCCATGGTCCTCAGCTGCCACAACAGCCTCCCTCTCCTGGCAGAGGTGTGCCTGCAGCAGCGCTGGCTCAGAGATAAAGCTGAGGCAGCTAGAGGCTGCACTACAGCTGGGTCCAAAAATTGGTCTGGCTCCTCTGAGCCCTGTAAAGATGGTTCCCGGGTCCCACCACCCTTGTGCTTTACCTTGGCACGTCCACTCCCAGAAACATCTTCCAGTTATCCCAGCTGCCGTAACTGTAGGGGTTTCTGAACACCTGTGGGCCAGAGAGATGCACATCAAGTCTGGCTCTGCCTGGCTGGCCCTCCCACCCTGAGGGCTGTGCTTACCTTGCCTTTCTTCTGCAGTCGCTGTCTCTCCTTCTTATTGATGTGCCTCTCAATGCTGGTTTCCCCACGGGTGATGAGGGCAGCATGCCACAGTGTGAGGGCACCCAGGGCCAATGCTACTGAGCTGGGGACAAGCCACAGCAGGTTGCACATAGGTCTTCACCAGTACTGTAACTGTGGGGTACTGAGGCTGTGTTCCTGAGCAAGTGCAGGTAGTTTGATGGCTTTCATCCCATGTGCCAGGGAGCTGAAATCAGTTCTCGGGAGCCCAAGAGCCAGCAGGGCAGGCATGTCTGTGCTAGAGCAAAGCAGTCTAGCCCAGGGAAGGTGGCATACAAGGGACAGTACAGCAGTGCTGCAGCGGGCTCCACTGCTTCCCCCAGCACCCTCCCAGCCTCTGTAACCCCATTACCTGCACAAGACCCAGAGGTAGACCACACTCTTGTGGAAAGCTCGCTGGCGGAAGGAGAAGGTGGGTGGTGGGGTCTGGTAATATGTCTGAAAAAGGACAGAGAGGGGCACGTTACCAGAATGCTTTATAGTGTAAAGCCAGGCAGGGAGTGCAGTGCTCCTTTGATGAAGGAATCAGGCAGTTAGAAAAAACTGGCACCAGAACCAACACAACAGCCAGGGCGAGAGGGAGGCAGCCGAAGACAGCCACAAGACAGACAGACACCACTTGAGAGCTGGCATATGAGTAACAAGCAGTGTGCTGGAGCTCAGGGAGCAGGTCACTGCACCACACAGGAAATGATGCTCAGGGTGAGATGTGTACATACTGCTGCTGCAGCTTCCCCAGGAGAGCAGAGCCTGAGTAGCATGCCAAACAGTGGCCTGGCCCCAGTGCTGCTGCTGCCACCAGCCAAAGCCACTGAAAGCTTGGTACATGGGGAATCAGACCCAAAACTGCTAGAGGCTGTGCCTGTAGCAGAGCTGCCCAGACAGCCCTAACTCTGTGACTCATGAAACAAGCATGGGGGCTGGTTCTGGCCTCAGGCTTCACTTTGAGAGCAGGATTCAGCCTGCAGGGCAGCTCTGCTCCACGCTGCCTGGAGCAGATGGGGAGCAGGGATGTCCCACCTGGTTGGCGGCCACCTGCAGTCTCTCCTTCTCAAGCAGTTTCATTCTCTAGGGGGATGGAAAACACATGGCACCAGTTACATGGCTCAGAGGAAAGGGCCCTTCCTCTCAAACCTCACAGGACTAGGGCAGCAGGGACCTCACAGGAGGAGGGAGAGGAGAAGCAAAGTCAATACAATGCTAGTGCTGGTTCAGCCTTGTTCTGCAAGCTCAGCCTGGGGAGACCAGGCAGTCTCTGAGTATGCCAGCACTTCCTCTCCTGGAGCAGATGAGGGGCCATCTCATGCAAACTCACCTCAATGGCTGCATAGGCATCCCGGAACATGTCCCAGCCGCTGATGCTGCAGTAGATGCAGCCCATGGTCATGAAGAGGCAGAAGGAGAAGAAGTAGCGGTGGTTGTAGTGCCCAACACAGTTATTGAGCCAGGCTGCCTCTAGGGTTAAAGGTGTGTAACTGTAATGGTTGCTAGTCCAAACCCACCCCATGGGGATCAAGACATCCAGCCAGGCTCCCTGAACCCTCCCCTGTACTGGGTGTCTCAGGACAGAAATGGAGCAGGGAGATGACGAGAAAGCAGGGCTAGCTCCTCAGGAGAGTGCAGTGAGTTAGTACTGCAGAAGGATACGACAATGGTGGTCCATCTTCAGCACACACCTGGGAGGGAGGAGAGCATCACAAGCATTAGTGCAAATTGCAAGCGCCATGTCTGGGAGGGGGCAGCCAGCCCCCTCAGTCCTTCATGCTGTGCTAGAGGCAGGTAAAAAGCCAGCAGAGCAGAGAGGAAGGGGCCCATCTCTCATGGCTTATGGTGGGGAGGGAGAGGTATCCTGCCCCATATAGTAGAGGCACTACCTGATGTGGTGGGGAGGTCAGGGAACATTACCTGTTGCAGATGCTGCAGTGGTGGGTGCGAGCCGGCTTGGGGGCAATGCATTTCCTGCAGATGGAGACGCCAGTGAGATCGTTCTTGGCCTGCACACAGGTCAGAAAAGAGGATGTGCTCCCAAGCCCCCACACCCATCACCTGCTCCCCATATGTTAGCCACGCTCCCCCAAACCTGCCTCCCCTCCTAGCCCCTGTCTGGAGGAGGTCTCCTGCAATGATGCCAACAGGATGCTCTTAGTGCCCAGCTGCAAAGGCTGTACTGCCCATTGGTGCCCAGGCTCAGCCTCACCTGCGGTGGGTGCCCAGGCGAGGTGGTGATGGCCTTGTAGTAGTGGAAGACAATCATGATGAGGTTCCAGTGTCCGTAGGCAAGATGCCAGCAGATCCAGGCAGGTGTGTATGTCTGCAGGATGAGGGGCAGCAGGCAGATGTATACGATGGCCACGATGGAGCTTGTCAACCCTATCACCAGTGCCACAAACACCTACAGGAAAAGAGGCTTGGGTCGGTGGAGTGCGCAGTACCTGCTCCATGCCGAATCCTCACTCCCTTCCACCTGGAGCAGCACAACTCAAGCTCTAGGACTTGGTGTCCCCAGCAGCATGCTCGCCGCCCCAAACCCCTCTAGCAATGGAGGCACTCACCACACCAAACCAGCGGGTGACGTGGTCCACCAGCCAGTAGACAGGCTCAAAGAGAGAGTCAAGCACCACGTCGCTGTTGGTGAAGGAATTGTAGAGCAGGGAGCGGAGGCAAAGGTGCCCGTAGTGCCACAGCTGTCCTGCCTGCCGCAGCAGCTTAAAGCGCCGCCGCCGGCCCAGACGCAGGCACTTGAGGAGCAGACGCATCACCGCTGCGAACATCCGCTGCCGGCTCCTCATCCCTGCTGAGCTGCACCTGCAGGGAAGAGGCTGAATGTGGGGAGGCCGCCCTGCTGCCGCTGTCCCTCAGCGAGGGCGTCCCCTCCTGGGCGTGCTGACGGTGCAGCTCTTGCCAGGTGCCTGCCAGCACAGCGGGGCAGGGCTCTCCTTCACCCTGCACGGGACGCAGAGCAGAAGCGGGTGGCGCTGAGCCCGAACTGGAGGCTGTGATGCTGCGTTCCTGAGCTCTGAGCGTGGAGAGGGGGACACGGGGCTCTCAGGCCTCCGCGCCTGACCTCAGATGCTCCCTGCTCCCATCTCGTCTTTCCCAGAGGGGAGGAGGATGGGGACTGACACGGAGAGTCTGACTCAGAGGAAACTAGAGACGGTGTGGGCACTTGGGGCGCTGAGCCCATTCCAGGGCAGGGAATGCTCAAAAACCTCACCAGTCTTTCCTAACTGATTCAGGAACGAGGGAGCCCACACAACACATGTCCTCTCCTCACACCTAGAAGACAGCATCTGGATGCCGCTGCCCTTTGCCTCAGCCTCTGGACCAAGCTGCAGAGGCCATCCCACACCTATCCCAACCTCAGCGCTGCACTGAGTCCCAGCGCCATTCCTTCCCCTCCCCCGGATCCTCCCAGGACGGCGCCACGCTTCACAGACGGAGAGCCCCGCAGGCAGCTCCAGGCCGAGATGCCGCCACTCAGACAGCAAAGGAACGCACAGCCAAGCTCTCGTATTCCCACCGAGCCTCTCGTCCCACTCGAGGGCCGTGCCGGGAGCAAGGAGGAATCCGAGCCGGCCCCGAAATGAGGCAAACGATCCGCCGGGTCGGGGCCCCCGGGCCTCCGCGCAGGCACGGCCATCAATATTAACCGGCACGGCCACCCCGGGGTCCTGCCAAGGTCCCGCTCGCCTCGGCACGGCGCCAGGCGGCAGCGCCCCAGCGCAACCAGCGGCAGCCCAGCCCCACAGCCGTCTCCGCGCGCTGCTCCCGGCTCCCCGGCGGCACCGCGCCCCACTCCAGGCACACGCACCGCGCGGCCGGCTCGCAGCGGCACCCAGCCCCCCCTCAGAGCGGGGAGGCGGGCTCCGCCAACCCCGCGTGCCGCCCCGCTCCCGGAGACATCGGGCTCAGAGATGCCCTCGCCCGTGACGGACGGCGGCAGCTAAGGGGCAGCGCGGCCCGACCGTAGGCAGGCGGCACCCCGCCACGGGGCCGGGCCGCAGCCTCCCCAGCCGTCCGCCGCGGGCCGAGCTCCCCCGTTCTGCGGCACCCGGCCCCGCGGCACCCAGCGCGGCCCCGGGCCCACGCCCACCTGCCGCCCGCTCCCCGCCGCCCGCCGCCATGCCCGGCGCCCACGCCGCCCTCACGGCCCCGGGCAGCGCCCGCCGCCCCGCGCCTGCGCGCCGAGCATGCCGGGAAGCGCCGTCACCCGGCGCTGCACTACGACTCCCAGCGGGCGGCGCGCCACCGCTTCTCCTTGCGGATAAAGGCGAACCAATAGCCGCGCCGCTTCCAGTGCGGCCCCGCCGCTGAGAGCCAATAGGAGGAGGGCTCTTTGCGGGCTCACGCGCGACACGGAACATGGCGCCGCCGGCTCGGTACTGCGTGCCCGGTGAGTGCGGGGCCGTGCTGCAGGGGGAGGCCGGGCCGGACGGCCTCGGTGCTGAGCGGGCGTTCCGCAGGCGAGCGGCTGTGCAGCACGGAGGAGGCCTCGGCGGGCAGCGGGACCTACGCGCGGCACGGTTCTATCTTCGCCTCGCTGGCCGGCTGCCTGCAGAAATGTGTCGAGGGCGGCGGGGTGAGCGCGGAGCGGGGCTCCGGGGGGTGCGGGGCTCCGGGGGGTGCGGGACGGGCGTGGGCGGCCCCGAGCTGAGCCCTGTGTGCCTCGCAGCTGCCCGTGGTGTCGGTGGTGCGGGACGCGGAGGCGCAGCTGCTGCCCGGCGTGGGGGCCGTGGTGACCTGCAAGGTGGGTGCCGGGGGTGGGACGGCCCCTCGCGTGTCCCTGTGCGTGCCTGCGGCCGGGGGCTCTGCTCTTTCCTTACAGAACCCCACGTGGAGGGCAGCACCCGGAGTGGCGGGGACAGAGAGCGACAGAGCAGTAAACAAGCCGCCGGGCCCGGCCCACGCTGCACGGGCACTGACTGCCTGCTGTCCCTCTGTGCAGGTGTGCAGCATCAACTCCCGGTTTGCCAAAGTGAACATCCTGTATGTTGGCTCCACGCCGCTGAAATCCACCTTCCGCGGCACCATACGGTACGGAAAGGGCAGGGGGCACGCTGCTCAGGGCGGGCTGCCTGCCTGGTGCCGGCCAGCTGGGTGAGGGCAGCTGTCTGGAGACATCTAGCAAGGTCTGGCTGGTGTCCAGACAGGCTGGGGCAGCTCCTGCTTGCTCTCTCTGGTATCACATTCCTGTGTCTCCTTTTCCAGGAGGGAAGACATTCGAGCCACTGAGAAGGATAAGGTCAGCAGGGCACTGCTGGGTACAGTGCCATTGCAGCTTCCCCCTCTCCAGCTCTTATCCTGTTGCTGCCTGTGGGGTGCCTATTGAGAAGTACCTGCATTCTCAATGCAGTCCTGTCCGCTCCTTCCCACACAGGTAGAAGTCTACAAGAGTTTTCGCCCTGGTGACATAGTTCTAGCCAAAGTTGTATCCTTTCCCACTGCACTGGGAGGGCCCACAGGCCTGGAGGGTTTGTACTGGACTAGAGAGTCTTTCTCTTAACCCACAGCCAACCAGATCTCACTGGGAGATGCACAGTCTAACTACCTGCTGAGCACAGCAGAGAATGAGCTGGGCGTGGTAGTGGCACGCAGCGAGGCAGGTAGGAATCATCCCTTCTCCACGTGGGGAGCAGCTGATGCAGCTTGGGGAGCAAACACCCTCCTTTCCTCCCACCTCTGAGCCTTGGAGGCCCCAGGAGGAGGCCTTGGGCTGCTGGGGATGGGAAATGTGAAAAAAGAATAAGCAGCAAGGGAACCTGCTGACTGGGGGTGCCCGTAGGGGTGCAGATGGTGCCCATCAGCTGGTGTGAGATGCAGTGCCCACAGACACACACCAAGGACTTCCGTAAGGTGGCCCGCGTGCAGCCGCAGTTCCTGCAGACCTAGCAGCCCCCTCAGGGGCATGGGGACCCCAGGAAGGAGGGCTGCTGTGGTGGGGTCCAACAGCTTCTATGCAGCTCCACGCGTGAGAGACTGGAACAGCAGGATGGATTTTGTATTTGTGCTGTAGATAATAAATGTTTTTTCTTTTTTGAGAGCTCTGTGTTCTGCTCAGTTACTGCCCATAGGGATTGCTCCAGAGCTGCTGGAGGGGGCTGTCTCACACAGCAGTGCAGGGGTGAGAAGTGTGTTCCTAGCCTGGGGCTGGGGAAGGGGAGCAGTGAGGGACTCTGAGGCTAGTGGTACTCAGCACAGGCTGTGGCTGCTGCTGTACTCTCCAAGGCCACTTATCACCTCAGGTCATGCATGCCCTTCATTAGGCAAAGGGGTGTGGCACACGCCAGAGCCAGTAAACCACTGGTGAGTCACAGTGAATCACTCTGCAACAAGGATTGCGGAACTGTGCTTTGCTGTGTGGAGCCCAAGCACTTTCTGCACCCACAAGTCAGCAGCAACTTCTGCATCACGAACACGTGGTAGCACAGGAAAGGAGGTGCTAGGCAAAGTGGGAGCGCCATGTGGCCCAGGAGCACATGGTGCAGTGGCACAGAAAAACGCTGACATTAATTATTGCATATTAATCTTTTATTGAACTGGAACAAGACAACTGGTACTGCTGGACAGTTAGATTGACCCAGTGCAAGCCCAGGCTCACTACAGCAGCAGTGGGGGAGGCTACAGTGACAGTGCCAAGTACACGTTTGTGGGATAGGGGCACAATGGCATCTACACCACCTCCATGAGGCAGGACTAGGGTTGGCTTTGGCTGTAGGAAGCACATGGCAAATACAAATTCCCAGACAACACGCTCCTTCCTTTGTCCAAAAGCAATAAGTTAAAGCATTGGCTGGTAGAGCTGAGTCAGGGTTTGCAAGTACTACTACTGGGTGCTGTACTACACAGGAGCATGCACCACAGTACAACCATTTGGTGTCTAAGCATTCTAGTCTTTGTGCAACACAGCCACAAGGGGACTGGGCACCCATCTTGGTTGCTGTCCCCTCCTGCCCATGTCCCACAGCTCCCGTTGTGCTCCTGGAATAACTAAACCAAGCAACAGAACTACAGTAACAGTGACAAGAGCTGCCAGGGAAGCGAGAGAAGCCAGGCATGGCAAAAGATTGCTTGAGAGCATCCCCTCAAGGGCTGGGAACACACAACATAGGGCTGCAGTTGCTGCCTGGAGCGAGGACTCCCTTTCACACCAGACCCCTGTGCACACAGCCCCTCACCCCCCAGCTCCCAGGCTGCCTGCAGAGGTGAGCCTGGTGCAGAGGGAAGGGGCCAAGTCCTGAGGAGCTGCTCCCTGCTCCAGCTCTGCAGCTCCAAGTTCCTACAGCTGTGGGGTGTGCACAGAGGGGTGGGGACGGAGGGGACTCATCTACTTGCTAATCTGCACGCCTGCCTCATTTCTTGACTTTGCCCTGAGCAGCGACAGCCTCCATGGCCTTGCGCACCGTCTCCTCATCTCCTAGGAACTGCATGGGCTTGATGGGCTTCAGGTTCTTGTCCAATTCATAGACAATTGGGATGCCAGTAGGCAGGTTCAGCTCCATGATGGCCTCTTCCGACATGCCTGCAAACAGAGGATGGTTACTCAAAGGGAGGGCAAGGGAGAGCCCTGCTTGTGTGGAGCCGGAGCAGCGGGGGATCCTGAGCAGCATGCAGAGCTGCCGTACCTTCCAAGTGCTTGACAATCCCCCGCAGGCTGTTGCCATGGGCCGCAATAAGGACTCTTTTGCCCTCTTTGATCTGCGGGACAATTTCCTCATTCCAGAAGGGCAGGGCCCGGGCAATGGTGTCCTTCAGGCTCTCACATGTGGGCAGCTGGTCCTCTGTCAGGTCAGCATAGCGACGATCCTGCAAGAACCACCATACCTGCACCACAGCCCAGCACCCTTCTGGGCTACATTAACAGCTGTGCAGAACGGAAAGGTGGTACCAGGGGCTGAGAACAGTGGCTGAGAACAGGAGCAGAACTGGCTTGTACCTATGCACCCATGAGAAAGTGCTTTGGGATTTGCCTCCAGCTGCCGGCCCTGCCTGCGGGCAATAGCACGGCGCTTTCTGCAGAGCAAACACCCAAGCTTTGGCCGCAGGACTAATGATTAACATCTCCCCTTGACTTCGTGCCATGCCTCGGGGTTCATCCTCTGCAGGGAGAGCACAGGATGGCCTCAGTCCAGCCCCTGTTACCGATGCTGCAACCGGAGAGCGAAGGGCAGCGTGGGAGGCCCGTGCCACGAGGCTCCCTGGGCTCCTGGCAGCCCCTTACCTTGCTGATGGTGCTGAAGAAGGGGTGGTCCGACTGCATGGGCGGCGGGGGGATGTCGAAGGAGCGCCTCCAGATCTTCACCTGGGCCTCGCCGTGCTTGGCAGCCGTTTCGGCCTTGTTGAGGCCGGTGAGGGCCCCGTAGTGCCGCTCGTTGAGGCGCCACGTCCGCACCACGGGCAGCCACATCTGGTCGATGGCGTCCAGCACGTTCCAGAGGGTGCGGATGGCCCTCTTCTGCACCGACGTGAAGCAGATATCGAACTCATAGCCGGCGTCTGCGGAGGCGGGAGGGGTGGGGGGGTCAGAGGCCGCACGAGGCCGCGCCGTTGCATAACGGGCACCGCCGGTCCCCGCCGCGCCCCGAGATGGCCGCCGCAGAGCCCGGCGGGCGCAGCCCCCCCACCCGCCCCACCGCCCGCTCGACGCGGGGCCCGCCGGTACCTCGCAGGGCCTCTCCGCCGCGCCGCGCCTCCTGCTGCCCGGCGGGGCTGAGGTCGGCGTCGTACCACCCGCAGAAGCGGTTCTCCAGGTTCCAGGCGCTCTCGCCGTGGCGGACGAGCACGAGGCGGTAGGCGGCCATCGCTGCTCCGGCGCTCGGCTCTCGCGCTCCTCCCGCTGCCGCCGCCGCGCGCGACTGACCCGCCCCGCGCCGCCCCGCGCCGGGCAGTGCGAGGCGCGCATGCGCAGGCAGACGGAGGCGGCGGGCGAGGGAGCACGTAGCGCATGGCGGGGCCGCGAAGGGCGGCGCGACCTTCGGGCTGTGACGTGTGGCGTCGCCGCGGCGCGCCGCGATGTGGGCGCCGCTGCCCTCACTGCAAATGGCGCCGGGCGCCGGAAGCGGAAGTGAGGCGAGGCGGCACGTGGAGCCGAGGCGAGCATGGCGCGGTGCGGGAGGCTGCGGGCGGGTACCGCCGCTAAGCTGCGGCGGTGGCGGAAGGGACACAGCAGCGACTGCAACCCCGAGACTCGGCGGCACCGCCTGGCCGCGCGAAGCCGCTTCTACAGCCGGCCTGCCGGTGAGCGGCCTGGGGGCCGGGGTGGGACGCGGTGGGGGGCGGCGCAGGGTTGGAAAGGACCTTAAAGCCTACCCTGTTCCGACCGCTGCCGTCGACTGGTTGCCATCCTCTGCCAAAGCCTCTGGCCCGTCCAACTTGGGCATCCACAACTATCTGGGTAGCAGTGCCTAGGCCTCTCCACCTTCTGAGTATTGAGTTTAATCCTAAGCTCAGTGTCTCACTCTTCTGCACCCCTCATTGCAGTACTTTTCCTATGGCAGAAGCAACATCCGTATCTCATACTGGCAGGGGAGGGTGGTGGGAGTGTGAGACAGCCTGACCCCAGGTCTGCTCACCCGGCAGAGAAAAGCAATCTGACGGTGGATGCGGTGAAGCTGCACAATGAGCTGCAGTCAGGTTCCCTGCGTGTGGAGCGGCCAAGCGGTAGCTCTCAGTTGCCCATGGAGGAGGGTGATGCTGGCGAGGCCGCCACCGAGAAATCCTCCGGCACCTTCCTGAGCGGGCTGAGCGACTGCACCAACGTTACCTTCAGCAAGGTCCAGCGCTTCTGGGAGTCCAACTCCGCTGCACACAAAGAGGTACCAGGGAGAGTGGGGCTGGGTGTGTGGTCCTGGGGCGTAGCTCCCATCCTGAGCAAGAATCTGAGGGTGCTGATGGCTCCACTTGCTGTTGTGACAGATCTGCGCCGTGCTGGCAGCTGTGACAGATGTGATCCGCTCGCAGGGGGGCAAAGAGACTGAGACTGAGTACTTTGCTGCGCTGGTGAGTGACCACCACAATTTGATGGGAATTCCCAGAGGTGCTATGCTCGTGTCAGAGGCTTTGGGCATGCTCTAGAAGAGACACTGTTGAGTTGCCCTTTGTTTCTCCACCCCCTTCCCCAAAGCTTTGGGAAAAGCTGGCCTGCTGCAAATCCTCCTGCTACAAACCCCTCCTTTTTTCCCAGATGACCACACTGGAGGCAGTGGATTCCCCTGAGTCAGTGGCTGCCGTTGCGTACTTGCTCAACCTTGTCTTGAAGCGGTGAGCTGCTGGCAGGGAGTGGGGAGAGCTGCCATGGCAGGATGGGGTCTGACACAGTCTCAGGGGTGGGCTGAGATTACCAATCCTCATGTGATTGCCTGCTCTTTGCCCCTTCTCCCCACAGAGTCCCCAGTCCGGTACTCATAAAGAAGTTCTCAGATGCTTCAAAAGCCTTCATGAGTATCATATCCTCACAGGCCTGCAGCGGCTCCACCTCTGCACTGCGATGGGTGAGTTGCAGAGAGGGGCAGGCTCTCTGGTGCATTCAGGGTGGTCTCTGCAAGGTAATACCAATATCCTTGATGTCCCCTTGTAGGTCCTCTCATGTCTGGCCACACTGCTGCGAAAACAGGATTTGGCAGCATGGAGCTACCCTGTCACCCTCCAGGTCTACCACGGCCTGCTGAGCTTCTGTGTTCATGCCAAACCCAAGGTGGGTTCTCAGCACCTGGTGGCTGTTGCTCCAGGGCTTGGTTCTGGGGCTGGCTGTGCTCTCTGTGCCTGTGGTTTCTATGCCCTTGTATTCAACCACCCCCAGGTTCGGAAAGCAGCTCAGCACGGTGTGTGCTCCGTCCTGAGGGGGAGTGAGTTCATGTTTGGAGATGAGGCTCCTGAGCACCATCCTGCGGCACCCTCCAGTGCCAAGTTCTGCGTGCAGGAGATTGAAAAAGCTGGAGGTAGGTAGGGACGAGGGAGCGAGAGGTTTTGCAAGAGTTTAGGAGAGCCCTCAGCCATCTTTCTGTTGTTCCTTTTTTCCCGGAGTGGGGCTTCAGTTCACCCCAGCTCTGACATGGGGTCTCTGCCCAAGGCTGTTGTTACAAGTGTGGGTACTGTTCTGCTCCACCAGGCACCAAGGAGGCTACCACCACACTGCACGTGCTGGCCCTCCTGCGGGACCTGCTGCCCTGCTTCCCTGCGGCTGTGCTGAAGACATGCTGTGAGACCCTGCTCAGAGTCATGACCCTCAGCCATGTGGTCAGTTCCCCTGCGTCCCTGCACAACAGCGCCTGTGCCAGTGCCTCCACCTCAGCTCTGGAAGGCGTCAGGCTGCTTTATTGGGAATCTGCAGGACCTGAAATCAGAGCAACCTAGTCAGAGCTGGCTGGTTGGCTACTGTAGAAAAGGGGGGTATAGATGGGAAGCCCCAGTGGAGATGGGGTGTCCCCGTGGGTTGGGCAGAGCATGCTTTGGGGTATGGGTGCGAAGTACAGAAGTTCTGGTTCTCCTGACAACATGTCCTTACAGTTGGTGACAGCATGTGCCATGCAGGCCTTCCATAGCCTGTTCAGTGCCCAGCCCAGCACATCCTGCCTGCCAGCTGAGCTCAATGCCCAGATCATCACCGTGAGTGCGGGGATGGATAGGGAGGGATGGGGCTACTGGCACTACTGTTCCCAATGCAACTTTGCTTCCCTAGGCGCTGTACGACTACGTGCCCAATGCCAGCGACCTGCAGCCACTGCTCACCTGGCTGACCACCATGGAGAGGGCACACATCAACCTGG